AAAAAAAAAACACCCCAGCATTGCGTGTTGCGCCCTCCCTCTCTTGGGGTGCAGTACTACGATGCTGCTGGGGTCACTCAAACCCCGAGAACTGAGCCTCTACTTTAGTTACTCCTCTCTTTGGGAGACACGCGTCGTCAAGGTGTGTTCACATGATTTTTTGCACTTGAAAAGTAATTGTTATCCTAGGTAATTGATGATTCAAGGACAATTGAATTAGCGATTCGAGGTTTATATCGGAATATCTAAAATTATTGTTTTTTAGTGATAATTGAGAGGTTTTTTTGGTTTTCAGATAATGCCAGAGCCAACAGAAGAGCCTAGAATCGCATCCAAACAGTCGATTGTGAGTCTGATTAATAATTAATTTGAATTTTGTAATTACAGTAATTATTATGAATTATGAATAAATTGGTGAATTTATTTGATCATAATGAAAAATTAAATTGAGTGAATTACGTCAATTTCATGAATAAATAATAATAATATTTGTTATGGAAAATGATGGAAAAATGAGAAGAGAATGAATAATTTTTTCCAGAAGAAGGCATACATCCTTCTGCGATCGATCAAGGGAAAGGAGAGGAAAGTGAAGAGACCTGGACAACCCCCCAAGGAAGTAAGAAAATCGAAAAAAACAGTTGGTGATTACAGGGCAGAACGTCACCTGAAGACTCTTGCGCCGGTTTATCCACCCACGAAGAGGCGACACCCCTGGCAGATGGGATTTGTGATGCAGGAGTTCAGGAATGCAATGGGGAAACAGGACTGGATAGCCCTCCAGAGGCTGTTCCCCTACTGTGGCCCAGACTCGTGCGATTTTCAGGCCCTGAGGTTCACCTATGGCTTCCTCCTGAGCCTCTGCAGCCCCATCAGCAACGAGAGCTACTTCCAAAACTTCCTGGAGACCTGCATCGGCGGAAACGTCGAGACAACTCTCCAGAGGCTCATGACCCTCCAGACGATGCATCGACGAGGAAAAAGAAATCCTGAGGATGACGAGGACCAGGATTAAGGGATTTATTCACATTATTTTGTTATATGTGTATTTAATCTTCAGCTACATCAGCATTTGGTTACTTTCATCGATTATTTCTCGTAAACAATTTATTTATTGATACAAATGTGGTATTTACAAGTGTTCGGGGGCTGTTAAAGATCCTGGAGGAGATTAATTTACAGGGGATTAATTGGACGAGGGGAGGACTTCACGTGGGGAAATTATTATTAGAAAAACTCTTCTGCATGAAATAATGAATTTATACTGGAGCTTTAAAAATTCTCTGGAATTTTTATTCGAATTGTATTTTTTTTTATTTTATTTTTTTTTTATCAATGAATTTTCAAGTTTTTCCATTAAATTTTTTCGCACGTGATGTATCAAGGGATTAATGGCACCTGTACATGAAAATATGGTGTAATGAGTGGTGCATTGAGAGATTAATATTTGGGGCAGGGAGGAAATTCACTCGTCGTTGAGTGATATTTTGAATAATAAATACGATTCATCGATAAAAACTTGGAATTTCCATGGAATAATTATATCTTCAACTCCAACATTTCCCTCAATCGTCAATTAATAAAAAAACTATCGATTAAACTTAAAAAACACTGAAGAATATTTTTGCAGCCGATAAATTTTCCCAGAAAAAAGTTCTCCGGACATTTTCCCCAGAACTCAATAATTTCCACCCATCGTGATTTCGAAAAACTCATCTTCATTTCGAGGAAAATAAATTCCACTTTATCCTGCAATCCCGTTCTCTTCTCAAGATCAATTTATTGGATCAATTGTTCTCCAGAAAATAACGAGAGAGAGAAAAAAAGAGTAAAATCACACGAGACAAATATCTTCTCTCAATGCCCTATTACGAAAAATCAAACAATGATTAATTAATTTTTCTCTATCTTAACGTCGAATAAAATGAAGGATCGAATGAGCCTAAACCTAGTAACGAATTCAATGAATTAACAATAAATACTCGTGAAATATATTCAATTATTCGTTAATAATCTCTGGTCAGTCGAGAGGTAAGTGCACTCGTGTGTCGTTGGCTGCCAACTTGATGAGTGTCTTTTTGACACGTAGAATTGGCAGTCGGGCGGCGGGTTTACCGTGCCAACACTCGCGCATGAGTTTTCCCATGCCAGTCAGGGTTGGATCTGAGTGCCAGCGATTTGGGAGTGGTGGTCTACGTTGATCAAGTGATACGAGTTTACGCATTTCTTCGATTGATGGTTCCTGAGTTGTGCTGGACAACCACTCGGAGTATGGGGCTGCGTAATCAAGGGCAACTCCATTGCTAACGCAACGTCTGCACACCTCCCACATTATCAGACCCAGGGAGTAGATGTCGACACACCTAAAGCCCTCGAGGCACTCGGGATTTAATCTAATCGAGATTACAAAAATTATAATTCTTCCAGAAGTCGATTTTTGGGATAACGGATTAATTATTTAATGAAAATTATTGATTGTTGGAGTTCTTACGTATTTTCGAGGATCTCCGGACACATGTAGCGCCTGGTGCCCTGCCTGAGGTCAACTCGATCAGTGACCAATCTCTCCTGAGTGACAGCAAGTGCGAAATTTGAGATGACGCAACTGCCATTGGTCTTGACGAGAATGGTTTTGGATTTGAGGTTGCGATGGGCCATTGCAGGTTTGCCCTTGGTACCGTGGATCTCGGTGTGAAGGTAGAGGAGCCCGTTGGCAATCCCCAGGCAGATGTTGAGGGTCTGGTGGGGAGTCAGAGGCTGCGGTGAACGATTCAGGTGATCGTAGAGAGATCCCAGGGGATGATAGTGGGTGACGAGCCAGAGTTGTGTGCAACTTGCACGACTCGTCATGTCGCTACCCACGTATCCCAGGATATTGTCGTGCCTCGATGGCAGCAGTTGGGAGTAGACTTCAGTCTCACGGGCCCAGGCTGCCTCATCCCTGGAGAAATAAATTTTAACTGCAACTGATTCTCCATGCCACACTCCTCTCCACACCTCTCCACCGAAACCACCGCCACCACCAGCGCCCAGGCACTCCACTAAGGCCACTTGCTTCGCTAGGGTTCGCTGCACCAGGAGGGGCAGACCTGACCCTGAACCACTCGTTAAACTCCGGCCGTCGAGGTACTCCTGGGGAGAAAAAAAAAACGTCGGGATTTGTGAGAAGAAAAAATCGTCACGAAAATTTTGGTTTGGATAATTCAGGTTTAATAGGTTAAATAGTGGATTGATAGGACGTACTCTGAGGGTGCTGTCACCGGCAGCCGTAGCCCTCAGCTCATTGGGATGATAACTAGACGACGAGTTCTGCGAGGCTGAGGGAAAATGCAGCATCGATGGCTCCATTTCAGAATCAACGAGAAGTTTATTGCGTTTTGGCAATGGACGTTTTCTCCGGGTTCTCCTAGCTAGTAGACAAAACAACACACCCCCAGCAACCGCTGCCAGGCCTACTATCGGTCCCAGGATGGCGAGAGTGAGTTTGGCAGCATAATCCTCCTTATCAGGTTCTAAAAAATCCCATTATCAACTTTACTTTTTTACGGAAAATTTCAATCTTCCTCAAATCTTGAGATATTTTTGGAAAACTGGGGAGAAGAAATCGAGAAGATATTTCCCTCGAATTTTCACTGGATAATGAATCCCGTAATGAATGGAATAATTACCCAGACGTTCGAGAATTGGAAATGGTCCATCATTACAGTAATCACTGTAGCAACACTCGACGTGATAAAGAGCCCCGTGGCGACTGCCAGGCGCCAATTTATTGCATATCAATGGAACTTGATCTGGGTCTGTCGTACAGCCACGCTTCACTCGTTCCCTGCCATCGGACTCCCTAACCCTAGACTTCCAGCACTATCAACAGCAAAAAAAAACAGCCACACTCAATACAAATTAAAATCAACGAAAATTTGAGATAAATGGGGAAAAAAGAAAAATTCTACTTTCTACGATTGAAAAAAAAATTTTTTTATGACACTTACCGCAATTGCATTGTCACAAATAGCCCCAGGGCTTGCCCTGCGACATTCATCCCCTTCACATGAGTAGCAGGAATACGACCTGCGTCCTATACTGTTGGTTAATTTTTGGTCCAGAGATTCTGGAGGCTCTTCACTGTCCAGACCATTCGGCTCTTCTAAGAGAGGTGTTCGTTGACGTTCAGCTGAAAATAAATGATTTATAACAATTAATTGTAAAATTATAATGTTTAATCTATTTTACTGCAGTCTTGAGGGAATGGAAATAAATCAACAGCAAAAAAATGAGTGGAAGTTTTCCCTTGTGGAGTTTTCGAGGCATATCTCGGATTGTAAAAGAGATAGTGAAATCCTTCTCACCACCTTTTTTGTAGAGTGGAACGAGAGCTACAAAAAAGGTCTCACAAAAATTCCGATATCTCGATTAGATCCAGAGATATTGATGATAAACTCAATCTCGTTGCAGGTAATCTCTTCTATTGACACAAATAAATGAATAAAAAATTGAAGACATCATGAGAATTATTAATAACAAACTACGATTAATTATAGATTTTGAAGATTCGCTTATAAATTAATTGTCAATTAATTTGCGTGAATACAAGAAGTCTGGCGATAATTATTAATTCTTAATTCCGGAAAATCACTCGTCTTCCCCATAAATAAAACAAATTACGAGTATTGAGCGGAAAATGGAAGGGGAAAATCGACGTCTGGCCTATTTCTTCGATTGTCAAATAAAAAATAAACGGTGAAAATTCCACGAGAAGAGATGTCACGAATTAAGGGCCCAAACTCGGTCCCGAAATGCCGAAGAAAAAAGTGAAAAAGTTGAAAAAAAAAAATGATTAAAAAATCATCCGATGATTTGAGACACCCCCAGAGCCCTAACCTCAACCCCAGGTGATTACAATTCCCAACTCTTACCCCAGGGAATAAAAAAAATTGTGAATTCCACCCCCAACTCACCTGATCCAATCCTCAATGTCAACAACAGCAGAAAGTGCGTTATAAATACAACATCCGCCATTTCTGCGTTGTCTCGCGTCAAAACAATGGACCACAGTCTACACCATCGTCATGGACAATTGACCCCCAAAAATTCCAATCACCGATGACACCCCACGTCATCCCCACGTTTTTTACTCACTTCCACTATTTCTGGGTAATTACAACAATAGATAATTAATAAATAAATGATAACGGCGTGGCGTCTGGACTCGAGAGGCACGGATGGGAGTGAGAACTTGGATCAACTCATGGCCAATGGGAGGACTTCACCTTTTGAGAATTGGAAAAAAAAAATAAAATGAAATAAATAGCGAAGGCCGTCGTCCATGGAAACTCGCCATCACGGAGTGACTCGAAATCAATACACCTTTCTGGGCTCAGACACCTCTCGATTCCCAATCCTTTGTGCTGTTTTTTTCAGGCACTCCAAGGGATTTTCAGGCATTACCCGGGATTGACAGCTGTCAGTCCTCTCATCGCTCTCCGGGTGTCAATTCACCAGAGGATTTTTAACCAGATATTGGAGGTAATTGGGACGGGAGTGCGGAGAACTGGAGGTGAGTGTTGAGATAAGGGATTTTTATTTGTTATCGATTTCGGTTTTTTTTTTATATTTACTGTGCATTTTCAGTTGTTCAGGATTCACTGCTGCTTTTTTTTTTCGATTTTGTCTTTTGATTTTTTGGGAGGGATTTTGTCAGTTGTCTCTGACCTTCAGGATCTCTGCATTTTTTCTAGGGGTTGGGGGTGCGTCATTATTTTTACGGGCATTTTGGGTTTCATTACATCCAGGAAGTGGTTATTTATTTATTTTTTATAATGAATAGAGCGTTGATTTTTTTTTGGCAGTCGTTTTGATATTTTTTTATGGGACTTTCGGCCTCTGGGATTTTTGTTGGGAGTTTTTTTTAGGGGAATTGAAGTAAAATTGATCTGAAATGATAAAAAAGGTTTTGATGGTGAGGAGGTGATAATTTTTGTGTATAAGAAATGATTTTGTCAACGTCCAGGTGTCCGTGCACATTCAACCAACCCCAGACCCTTTGTTCAGATGTCCAGACATTTTTTGTAAGAGTTTTTTCATTTTTTAGTTATTCATTGAGTTGTTATTTCGAGTTGGAGATTTTTTTTTCGGGGATTTCTTTTTGGAGATTCAGGTGAAATTTTATTGCAGTGACATCACCGGCATGGCGTCGAGCTCAGTCAGTCAAGAGGATTTTGACAATGATTTTGAGTTCACGACGAGGAGGGCGAGGATTAGGACGGCCAGGACGAGAGTTGGGCCCCAGAGGGCTGGGGACATCACCACCATCAATTTTCAAAGTTCGTTGATTTTTATTTCACTTAATTAAATATTTTTTTTTTCTCTTGCATTTCTTTTTTGGTTTTAGAAAATCCCGCGGATACTGATGATCCTCCCATCTGCGAGTCCAGCTCCAATAACGTGTTGCCTCTGGAACACGATAATCAACAGAACAAACCAATAATGAGAAAACCCGAGAAACGAGTGACTGGTCGGTGAGTAAATTCTACGGAAAACCGAATGTATATTTCGGAATCCACTGGAGACAGCAAAATATTTGTTGAATCTTTTTTGTGAGGAATTTCAAGAGCTACAAAAAAGTTTCTACAAAGATTTTTCCATCTCTCTTACCTCTCGAGATATCTCCCAGGAACATCTCCAAAAAAAATTTCGTGTCGAGAGTCAATTGCTGAAAAAAAAAATCAACAACTCCTTAAACAAATTGTTTATTACAGACCAACACACATTAACAAGGGGAAACAGCAGAGGGACCGCAGGAAACTCCGAGAGAAACGACGTAGCACTGGAGTGGTCCATCTCCCGTCCACCGAGGTATGACGATTAAAATAAAAAGCACGGAATAAAAAAAAAATCCCCAGGAGTCTCTAAATGACCGAAATGCATGATATGTTTGGCTCTGCAATCAATAATAACGTTAGAAATTTGTTAATGATGAACAGCTCATTCTAACAAAATCCTATTAATTATTTGGATACCGTAGAGTACAGGAGGTAGTACTGGTGAAGATGAGGAGGAACTCGGTGGATGCCTCGAAACAAAGCACAATACCCACCATAATGAGTTTCTAGACCATGAGCTCATGGAAGTAAGTTTATTTTTTCTTTTTATTTGGTCATCTCCATCTGTCTTGTCCCATTATTTCTGGATTAAGGGTTGCAGGGTCAAGTGTAGATGACATTTTCATCCGGAAAAGGTCGAGTGAACGATCTGCCTTCTTCATTATTCTTTGCCATCGATTTTATTTCATTGTGGGTCATTTATCTCATTTTTTCGCCCGAGGGGATTTAATATTTTATGAACTTTGCGTCTGTTACAGGAGAGAAATGCCAAGGTTTACACGCAGAGGAGGAATAAAAGGTAATTATTAATTATAGAGAAGATTTCTCTCCACCAAATAATCAGTTAACTACTTTATTATGTATATTTTTTTTTTCAATTTCAGTCACTCGGACTTAGAGGCTGATGACGAGGAATTTGACTCCCTGAATCAATCAGACAGCATCAATCAGTCCGACGGTGCTCACCCACCCCTGGACACGGCCACGAGGCCACGGGTACCCACCCCCACAGGAGACAACACTCAAGAGGTGAAAAAAAATTAATTCCACAACAAAAAAATTTAAAAAAATTCAATAACAAGTCAATTACGGGAAATATCTCTTGGATTTGGAGATATGTGTTAGAGTAATTAAAAAAAATAAGTTTGTCTTTCTCCAGCTGTTCGAACGCGCCCAGGAGGAGAATCGAAGGCTCCTGGCCCTCCTGGAGGATCAGGACCATAAGATAATGGCCCTGGAGGCCCAACTGCTCCAGCAGCAACGAGAAATGGCAATCGAGCGCGAAAGGTTACGCGAGGAGAATGCAGCCCTGATCAGGGCCATGGCAGCCCTCGCAAGTAATTAATCCAAGAGAATGTCCTCAAAAATCTAATTAATCTATTAAAATTTCGCTTATCGATGTTTGGTATCTCGAGGTAACAGAGTTTAATTCGTCAAATTTATTTTTTTATCTAAATAACGTAGGATTAATTGAATTATCAGTTTGACATATTAAATTTTTATTCAATACAAAAATAATAATTCTGTACTCTTTGATTTGAGGATTTATCATTAGAGACTGATTCTGAAAGCATTCACAGATTGAGATTAATATTTGGACCTAATTGTCAGGAACGTTGAGAAAAAAAAATAATCTGATGTAAATACATTGTGAACGTGGTGGAGGCATTTGTTAGAGTTGATTCAGATTTTTAAATTAGATCGTAAGATTATGTTTACACTATAAAAATTCAGGACTAAAGGGACGAGGAAAATAATGTAGGATGAGAGGTGAATGCACAATCAATTGTTACGTTTCGATTAAACCGAGTGAATAATTTTCATCGAGGATAAATAAAAAAATCCCCAAATTAATCACAATACGATTTTTTTTTTGATTCATTTATCGTTTATAAAATCATCGAATTTTCGTACAATACGATTACAGAAAGTTTATACAATGTGCTTTTTATTCCAATCAATCAGTAAATCAATTTTCTCTACAGATAAATAAAATCGTTGGGACTCATCCGACAATGATTGAGGGTTCGATCGATTATAATTTGAGAAAATTAGAGCAACAGGTACTGACAATTATTATTCATTCCTTTTGACTTTGACCCACAAAATTCTCCATTCCCCAACGATTCCGATAATTTCTCACCAATTATTTATTATTCTCATCTGCTCCAAGATATGATTCAAATATCATTTTGAATTAAAGAACTCCAATTTCAACGATTCGACGAGATAAATCAATCCAAATAAAGACAGAATTTCAATTCGGAGACGTGAGGGTCAAATACCAAAAGCCCTTCTGATACCGCAAATCATTTATTTACACCCCTCCATAGACGATCATTAAAAAAAGCAGTTGAAACTAGCGAGTGATACAGCAATAGAACATCAATGAAAACTCTCGTTGAATGACGAGTTGAAAAGCGACTCCAGTCTGATATGTACTCATTACCCCTCAACAACCCCCAAATATCCCCTATCACTTATTGTCGCAACTCTTAACATAGGCCATACCCCTACCACTACATTAATAACTAATTACTCTCTGAAAACAATACACCTAAAGTAAGTCTCGTGTTCGAAGATACCACAAAATAATAAAAAAAAAAAAAAGAAAGAAAGAAAATCCATTTTTTCCAACGCCCACTGCCTCGAGCTCGATAGATCCATTATTTTTTGGTATAAATGTACATTCCCAACAGAATACTGCCATTGAAATAAACACCTCCCCCTCCCGCCCCTCAAAAATCCACCCCCAAAATTTCACGATTAAAACACCACTCGAGGCATTAAAAAACCCAATGATCATTCCCCTCAGAATCCAGTTAATCATTCATCCCAACACACGACTAGATCACGATGGTCTTTAACGAATCCACGTGGACCCTTAAATGCTAATAAAACAAGGAAATTATCATCTGGGGGAGGGGAAGAGCTTGTGGATTAAAACTAAATCATTAACGATATATTAATCTTTCGAAATGAACGAGTCGTTTAATCCCAGGTAAATCATCAATTGGAATAAATTCCTATGTTCTCTTTTCTATTTCCATTAGGATTAAATAACGTGATACCCCGAAGAAAAAAATAATAAACTACAATTAATTAATTATTACTCCATCAAAATCGGTTTGATTTCTCTTTAGGTACATTCTTGTGGCTTCCACTCTAATTATTCGCTCCATATAAGTACAACACTCGTCAACATTTCGCGTTATATTAGTCTTCAAATTCGTCGAGGTATAAATTAATAACTGAAAACACCTAGACAAGAGCACGTGTTTTCTCTCACTTTTATCATTTTCCCTGAACATCTGATTTTCGTGGAGTTATCATTTGTTTTTTGTTACCTGTTTATTGTTTTGTTTATCGATCAGCCTTTGCTCGAAGGCACATGGACATGAGTCCTTCATTGGAAAATCAGTTTTTGGGCTGCGAGGGATTTATCAATGAGAAGAACAAGACACGGTTTAAGGATATGTAGGTCAGGGCTCAGGGCTCAGAATTTTCAGACACTGCAGCCTGATGTTACTTTTTCGTTGGTCGATGAACGATTCCATCGGCAGGGGTGGTATCCCTGTGGCTCATCTGTGGTACTGTCTGTACTCGAGGCCTTCAGTCCCTGCTCCAGCTCCAGCAGCTGGCCCATAAAATTTAGATTCGGACTTATTATTGGTCGAGCATTTTTCACGAGTTTGTAGGCATCGACCATTGACAGGCCCTTGTGTCGCATTATGTACGCAATGGCTATTGTTGCACTGCGGGATACACCCGCCTGGCAGTGCACCAGGACACTGCTACCAGCTTTTCTCGCTTCCTCTGGAAAAAAAATATTTCAATTTTTATTATTCATCGATTTAACCAGAGAAGTATTGATTTATCGAAGAAATCTCAAAAGACATTTATCCTGGAGAATTTAATTGCCTAGAAAAAAGTTCTTTAAAACTTTCTCCTAGAGTCGATACTTTTCGAGATAAAAGGATAATTCTTAAACTTTAAATCTCGAAATTTCTTATTGCCTCACTCCAGAGAATTATTGATTGATAAAATATTTAAAAAATTGATATCAGTATAAAATCGATTAAGAGATGGAAGAGAAGAGAAAAATATTTTCTTCACGAGATGATCAATTGGTCCCGAGAATTTACGAAATAGTCAGAAAACCATTAATTCAATGTCTAAATTATTTCTTTCTCTATTTCCAATTAAACCAGCCCCTATCCTAATAACCGGATGAAAAAAAAAATAGTTAAACAAGTTGTCTTGTAACCCAAACAGCCGATTGAGTTACGTAATATGGGGGACGCTATCATATCACCGAAGACAGTGACTCATGCCCGGATCCCAATGCATAATCGTACCAGCACAATTTATTTGTTAAAATAAAACCATTGAGTTTTGGGCTAATTCATTACACTCGGTCGAGTCTAATGAACTTTACGACAAAAATTATTTGTGAATGAGGAGATAAAAGCCCTGGGGGGGATGTAGTTTATTTACAGTGTAGTTTTTCTCCTCTCATGAGTCGTCTGGCATCGGGGAACATCTGGGTTTCCAGTGGTGTATTAGAACGCAGTAGCATCTGGCATGAGTCAGAGGGGAAAAAAAAGAAGAGGGAGAATAAAAAAAAAGTGAAAGGAGCCCGTGGCGATGATTAATTGGGTATCAACCCCCTGTATCGTTGCTGACGTAATGTTCGGGTATTGAATTGTTTTTGTCTATCACTCGATCCTTACGTCAAACCCGAATTTTTTTCATTATTTTTCAAAATTACCGCGTGAAAAAATATTGAGGATAACTAAAATGTGAGAAATCACCACAATTATTGAGACAATCCAGTGATTATGGAAATATCAATGGTATTTATTCGTTGAATATTGAATTAATGATCAAACGACTTGTGATTATTAGACTAGAATCGTATGATGACTTCTGAATGGATAAAATAAAGGAGAAATTAAGGGGAAACGATAAAATAACGGGTCAATTACGTGAGCTCGACGACGCAGTTCGTTATAACGGAAACGGGGCATAACCAGTCGTATCCGGTGGACCATTGACTGAACGCACACGATACAAGAGACTTCCCATTCATGAAAACACCATGACTCACTTACGCACACCAAAATTGTCCCCCTGTACTGCAACCCCCCTTTCCCCCTTGCCCCTATTTTTATGATCTTTGTTGTAGTACCGTGAGGGGGAAAAGGGGGACAGGAGGGGTCGGTGCCCCCCTATTTTGTGAGGCTCATGTGCAACTGGTGGAATGCCGTTGGTAACCGTTGGGGGTTGGCAAAACGTGATTTCTGTTATGCTAAATCATTGGGGGACAACCCCTGAGTTTGAGTCACCTGATTTCATTTATTACCATTCACTTAATTACTGGACGCCTCACATTTTATTACTTGTAATTATTCATTTCAGTGAGGCATTTATTTTTGATTTTTTATATGAAATTTATACCATAATTCAATAATTTCGTAACTCTGATGCAGTAATTATTTTGTGAATCGGTTAAATAATTGAGTGTCTGAAATATTTTTTTAGGAGAGAGTGGGGATAGTTTTGGGGAATGGGGGTATTTTTTGTGATAATATTTAGGGATGGGTGAGAATTATTTAAACAATTTGAATTGTTCCATTCGAAATTTCTTGTCATCAACCGATTAATTAGACCGTAAAAATGTTGATGACGGATGGAGCGGATACGGTTGATTACCCCAGTTGAGCATTTCGGCACTCCCATCCCTTCCATAAAATTTTCAGTAAATAAAAAGGCGGGGCAAAATGGGATTGTGAATGATAAAATTCGATGAGTGGAATTTCACAGGTTTCTTATCGCTGATTTATCTCGAAAATTGTTGATCTGAGGGGAAAACGCTACATGACTTTCTTGTAGCCAATTAAATTCTCCACGAAAAATGTCTCTTAACATTTTTTCGAAAAAACACAAGTTCTCGAGATGCATCGATCTTCAGCAAAACTGAAATTCAGCCCGCCTCAATCCACCCCTCATTTACAAAGTTTATTTCTCAGAAAAATATTGATTTTAGGAAAAAATATCAAGAATTGTTTTTTCTCGGGAATTAAATAAACTAGAAAAAAGTTATTTAATGTTTCTATCTCAGACCAATAATTCTCGAGAAAAGTCGTTAAATCGGAAAAAAAAAATCAAACTCACCGATGAAGTCAAAAGCTTCCTCGAAGTATTGCTTGAGATTCTGATGTCCTGAATCGGTAGCAGGTATCTGTCTGTACGTTATTCCCCTTGCTTCGTGATATCCGGGTAGCTGTGAGGTGACGTTGAGTACCCTAGTGGCACCAAGGGCTCGTAGAAGCTGTAGGTCAGCGGCATCTCGCCCATTTCCCAGATAGAGGAATGGCAGGACTCTGGATGCTGGATGATTGTCGATGTCAGCTGGTTGGGGGGTTGTCGGTTGTCCCATCATCACGGGACATCCTGGACCAGGACTTGTGCAGCCACTCACTGCAGCTTCTGATGCTGGGGGGGTACTTCCCCCTGGCAGGAGCGTATCCTCGCAGAGATCTCGGTGTCTCCTGTGGAATTCCTTGTGCCCTCCTGCAGAGAAAAAAAATTTTTTATTCCAATTCCCCGAATCATTGCCCCCCCATCATCCCCTGAACGCCAGATGTATTTTTATCTCCCCCAGAGACAAAATGAACATTTGTTTCCTGCGGTGAAAGTTAATGTCAATTTTTACTGGTGAATTTTCAATGAATATCTCCGAATTGAGGGCTCGCACGTTAAATTTCATCTGGACCTTTTTTCTAGGGCAAATCAAGAGCTACAAAAAAGGTTCCACAAAAATTTCGCTATCTCTCTCGTATCCAGAGATATCTCTCAAAAGATGACAACCCTCAGATCACAATTGTTCATCAATTTCTTAGACAATAAAAGAAATCCAATAAATTAAATATTTAACGATCAAGCAAATCACTTGCTATTCCAGGAAGTGAATTAAACTCCAATTCTCTAAACACCAAACGAGGACAACACGAGCTCGTATTATTATAGTTGACTATAATAACAAAGTGTCCGAGTGTGACTCATCCCCGAGAGGAATAATAGTTCCGGAATTTGTTCGTCTTTTCCCCCAAAATAAATCCTTGAAATTCTCAACAACATACCCCATGTCTCGATATTCTCAAGAGGCACGAGCCTGAGGACCAGACAGGGTGCCTTCTTGATCCTCATCCTTGAATTTGGAATTTTCCTGGTTTGTCGTTAAATCTCGTACCACTAATTACGCGAGTTATTCACTTGGACAATTAACTTTTTCGATGTACAAGACAATGTTTATGGTTTGCCCTTTGACGAAAGACTGGTTGAAGGAAAACTATGAGCTGTTGTGCCTCACATGAGAGACCGAGTGGTGAGTCATCCACGTCTACTACCATTGGACCTTCTAAATGTGACGTCACGCCCAAGGGGTGGGGTAAGGGGGAAAGAGGGGGATGGAATGACGGAGAAACACGGAAATGTACGAGGGGAGTATTTCGCGCCTCGTCCGACCAGATTTTCCCATTTTTCCTTTTTCTCATTTTTTTTTTCCTTTTTTTTCTTCCTTTTACCCCAACTCAGTCGTCAAAATTCAAATACAAGTAAAAGGCTTTCTTTTTTCGTGTAGCTATTTTTATTATTTAATTTGACTATGAAATAACTCGGATTATTGATTTCATCCCAATCCTGGAAATCACTCGGACTCACGCGATTTTTTATTTCTTGTTTATCTTTATTTCTGGAATTGACAGTTTTTATTTTTTTCGTTTATTGTTGGTTAATTGGTTTTGTGTAATTTTTATTTAGAGCTAGGGGGAAAAAGACGCATTGCCGATTTTATCCTTGACTCACCGCTTTCTCATTTATTTTCTCATTTCGCCGATTTTTTTTTTGTTTTTTTCAGATTATTTATTGTTTAATAGAATTTTCGGCACTTTGTTGATGGTTTTCATTATTTTTTTTTCATTTCGTTTTGGTAAAGATCGTCTTGTTATTGATTTCCCCCAATCACTCCTTCTCACGCGATTAATTTTTCCCGACACGCAGCCATTTTTCACGAGAGAAAAAAATTCCAGAAGGACAAAAAAAGGGAATTTCGTTATCAAAAAAAATCGCTTGGATAAAATCCGTGGAGTCGAATTTATCGAGATGAATAATCGGCTTGTGGTTTTTTTTTGTGAAAAAAAAAAACAATTCAGGGGCATGAGAATTCGAAATGGACTGATTTCATGAATAAATGAAATAGTTCGCAATAGGAATATGAATTGTCATGGTAAATTCCGCCTGAGTGAATCATAATTATGTTAAAATATCGAACAATGGGTCATCAGTGGCCGATACTGTCCAATTAATCGGTGATGCATCGGATTTAATTAGTCAGAGGATTTCGATGGCATTACTAATCCATTTCTCGATGGAAAAATGACGAAGGTTTTTAGTCCTTAAATCGACCTCGAGAAAGATCATATCTTAAAATATTCCAGTGCGTCAGAATGGGGTACATCAAGGGGGAAATGGAATTACTGGGGATTTTAAAGTTGTCCTTGAAATATTGCAGACCTGGATAGGTATGATGAATCCTGACACCTAGACATTTCTCGATAAAATTACTCATAGGCCCCCAGAGATATTTCCACTGGTCGTTGAATCATCGTTTATTGTTTGAGGAGAGTGACCCATACCTTTCCCCCTAAAAGGAAATTCCAGGTGATTTATCCGGGAGTATCTCGGTACCCAGAGGATCTAGAAAAATCTCCATAGAAAAGTTTTTGCTGAAAATTTCAAGAGCTGCAAAAAAGCTCTCTACGAGTTTTACCCTATCCCCACTAAATCGAGAGATATCGCGCAACGAGTAAAATTATTTCAATACTGCAATTATTTCAATTCCATTTTTCAGGCTTCACTCTTTCGCGAATATCTCGGAATGTGCAAGAGATACGGATGGGAGTTCCCAGTCTTTTTTGTTGGTCTTGAAATTTTCTACAAATGAGGTCTTAATGGAATTTTGATTATCTGTGATAGACACAGAGATATCAGAGAATAAGAGTAATTTTCAATTGAAATAAAATAATCACGTGCCGCAACCGGATAATGACCCCGGGAGTCGTTTACACAGTCAAATTTCCCCATTAACCCGTATTTTTATCTCTCAAAACGTGAGACAGAGCAAAAACCAGAATTTCATCGCAATTGAACAGGCAATGCACCTTGATACAGCGATAAATGGTGAGTATGAGTCACCAGAACACCTGGAAGTGACCCTGAATTACCGATAATTCTAATTAAAAATTTATTCCAAATTTACCCAAATGGCCATTCAATTTCACGAGATCGTCACCGTGAACCTCTTTTTTATTCATTTTATCCATGAACTCTGACGTTATTCAAGCTGATATTAACCACAAGATTCCATCAATGAATCACTTCCAAACCCGAGAATACGCGCATCGCCTGCATAATATTTGCTCCACGTGTATATTGTATTATTATTTTTTGCAATTGCAATGCGCACATGGGGAATTCTCGTCTCGTCACTAATGAAGAACGTTTCTAGGAACAATGAGTGTTGATTAATCACGAGGAAAAGAGCACAAGGCCCGAAAAAGAAGAAATCAGTAATTCCCCTCCGCCCCTTGCTTCACAAAAAGACAATAATTTATCAACAATGAGTCATGAGAATAAAAAGTCGAGTATTTGTTTTACGTCTTGAAGTCGATAAGATTATTATGACGCGCAACAAAATTGGCAGGTTTTTCCTCGTTCTTTTTATTAAAACAATTTTTGCGATTGCGGGAAAGTGATTTAGGTTGAATTAGGTATTGTCGGTAAATTTGTGGAGATCGAGTTAATCGGTGGAAATAGTTATCAATATGTTCCTTGTCAAGCCACCGCACAAGTGCACCCTCTGATTTTTGGATCGAATTGCTTTTGAAAAGGTACAATTCATTTTTCCGAATGACTGTGACACATTCTCTGTCCACACGATAATGCAAGGGAGGAAAAGCCCAGGGGTTGTTTCCCACAGAATTCGAGGGGAAAAATCATGACTCATTTCACTGCGGCTGATAGTAATCCCTTTATCCTGGGAGAAAGATAGGACTGGGGGAGGAAAAATCTCGAGGATGAATGATGTTGGCTTATCGGGCGACTCGGTTTACCTGTTCGTCGCGCAGTCGATACAACTGTTTTTTAAATCACGTGTAGCTCGGAATCTTCCGGAGATCCGGAAATTTTTGTGGGGAAGATTTTGTGGGGAATTTCAAGAGGTACAAAAAAGTTCCTACAAAGATTCCGGTGTCTTCGTCGGGTCTGGAGATATTTCCAAGGGAGTGAAATTGATTTTTTTTCAATTTCTGGAGAGAACTGCTTTTGCTTGGGCTTCCGTTTTTCACGAATATCTCGGGACGTGAGGGAGATAGCGGAATAGTTGAGAGGACTTTTTTGTAAATCTCGATTTTCTGCGCAAAAAAGGTCCTACGAAGTTTTTTTTGTCTTTGATAGATCTTGAGATATCAAGCGAAAACCAAAGTTGGCTGCTACCGCTGATTTCGAATTTCGCGTCGCTGGGTGCGTGCGCAGGATTTCACCCACAGCGCCGCGAAATCCGAAAGGCTGCGGGGTTGTGACGTCAACAGGGCTTAAAATACCGATTGTTTATTGAAATATTAATAACGAATTTAATTAAATGAATTTTCCATTGTGTCGGGAAAATGGAGTCGTAATATCTCTCTATGGGGTATACATGCGACTCATACCCACGTGTTGGCCAGTGCCACGAATAACCTCGGAATCACCCAGCGTGGAACGTTGGTGAGTCACCAAAAAACGCGAGCCCAAGTATAATGGGAATCTCGATGTTCCTGGCATCTGCAGAAAACCATCTCAAGGAAATTCCACGATTTTTCTCGTCTCTCACGATTTTTCCTGTCTCGAAGGACAATCAACGCGAGATGATTCACCAGTTAGAATTCACAAGATTTCGTCAATTACCTGTCAAATAATACGACCGCTCGCATTACCCATGTCCATACCAGTTGTAATTCACGTGTCTTTTTTTTTTATCACTTTTATGGAGCATGACAAGCGGATAAAATTTATGTCACGAGTGTCGTAAAATCGGGAGGAGTCGTGAAATTATCTCGAGGCGGAGAACATCTTCATGAATTTTCATTGATCCCTTTTTTCAACATGAATTTAACATCTCAAATAATTGATAAAAAATTTGAATTCTACTTCGGAAAATTATTTCTCTCGAATTCGATTGACGCAATAAAATTCAATATATTAATATATCCATATTATATTATATTAATATAATGATATATTGAGGAATTAATCCATTCATTGCGGGATAAATATTTTTCTGTCCATTTTTATGACGATAAGAATTTTTTTTTTAATTCAATTTGAGTGAAACGTAAAATGTCGGCAAACGACAATATCCCGACAGTCCTGAGGACGCTGGCAAGGCCGAGGCGTATTCGAATGACTATTCGACATGGAATGCCGGAGAGCAAGGGATTTCACTGAAAAATATCAGTCGCTTGAAAACTAGTATC